CACACACACGCACACACACACACTTACACGGACGGACGCACACTCGCGCACATACATACACACACACACACACACACACAAACACACACACAATATCTAGAGTATAACAACTGAAATATGAAAACACAAACACACACATACACACACACACACACACACACACACACACACACACACACACACACATACACTCACCCACAGATAAATACACACACACAAACACACACACACACACACACACACACAAAATAACTAGAGTATAATAACTGAAATATGAAAACACACACACACACACACACACAATAACAACTGTATAACAACTGAAATATGAAAACAAAACACACACATATACACACACACAAACTTAAAACAATAATTAAAAACACTATTATTATTTTTCCCGCACATTATTATTAGCATATTATTTTTCGTTTCGCTAATTGTGCAGCAAATCTTGAGGCTTTAATTTTATTGTTTTGGTGTCGTTTATGGTGTTAATTATACACAAAAATACACATCCTAATCCATTATTACTATTTTTTGACCTCCTGAAACATTGACTTGGTTATACATTTGTAATATTTACGTTTTCGTCTTATATCAATTAATGAATTTTTAAATTGTTTTATTTGCACGTTCCTAATTAATATTAGATGTAGCTTTGATTTATTTGAATGTAAAGTGCAGTTTTAGTAGTTAGAACATTTTCATTGAACATTTTAGCCAGTCGCCAGGGAAAATATTCTCCTTTAGTTTTTACTAATTATTAAAGAGACAAAAAATCTTTTTTTATGTTTATATTTATCGAATTTTTCCTTCATTCATTCATTTTCTTTTCGGCTTAAACCCTTTATTAATCTGGGGTCACCACAGCGGAATTACACTGTGGCCAATTTAGTTGATCAATTCCCCTATATGTGTTTGGACTGTGGGGGAAACCGGAGCACCCGGAGGAAACCCACACTAACACGGGAAGAACATGCAAACTCCACACAGAAGACAAAGCAGGGAGTCGAACCAGCGACCTTCTTCATGTGAGGCAGTCTTGCTACCCACTGTTTGTGTTTCACATTAAGTCTCATTCTGTTCACACCAGACACATGCCGCCTGAATAAATTGCGCAATTTGCATGAAAATAGGTGCGTGAACATTTTGAGTTCACTCGCTTCATTCACGTGTCAAATTCACTTCATACTAGAAGTGGATTTGAGACATTAGCATGGCGTCTGTCTGCCCTGTGACTCTAGCTTCAATGCTAAATGGCTAACAAGAATTTTATTGAGATAATAGCTTTATGTGCTTTAGGAATGCTGAAAAACAGCGTAGATTTGTTCGGCGTCATGTCTGAGTCCACTAGATCCTTTCAGAGGTGCACCCAGCTCTGTGAGTTCATCAACTCCTTTGGATAATGGAAGCTTTCAGCAGTGCTTCAGACTGAGCCGAGCCCAATTCTGTTTCATTCCTCCTGACCGGCAGAGACGGTGTTTACACAGTGGATAATCGCAGCGCCAGCTGGATAGGCCGAGGAACAATATACCAACAAAGTCACATGGTGATACGAGCTGAGCTGAGGTATATAATCCACTACAGCTCTGCACCCTGCCTGTTTTTGCTTCTCACCTTTGGATTTGGTCATTGAATTATTTTTGTTGTCCAGTGCAGCTCTTTGGTAGGAGCAGTGAGTTTTCTCGTCCTCCTGAGCTGTAACGGTTTTCCTTTATGAAATTATTGATCTAGGATTGTTCACTCTATTATAATTAGAAATTAAAATGATCGTGCGCAACTGAGTCTGGTTCTCTCAAGGTTTTTTTTCTTCACTCTCCTATTGGTGAAGTTTTTTTTCCCCTCCGCTGTCGCCTCTGGCTTGCATGGTTCAGGATCTGAAAAGCTACTCATCGATGAATTTGCTCTTCAGTGTTTGGACTCTCAGTAATGACTTTAAACCACACTGAACTGAGCTAAACTGAACTGAACTTAAACACTGAAAACTGAACTACCCTGATGCAGTTACTATGACCATTTATGTGAAGCTGCTTTGACACAATCGACATTGTAAAAGCGCAATACAAATAAAGCTGAATTGAATTGAATATTATATCGTGGGCTGCGGGTAAGTTTTTCGTCATTATCTTACATTCGGCTGTAATATATAAGTGTCAATTGCCTCGCGGTAGTATCCAGGGGTTAGACGCTGTATTTTTGTAACAGGGTATCTGCACATTTTTTAACAGGAAATTTAACACCTTTTAAGACCTTTTTAAGTCCTCTAAAATTTAAGACTTTACCTAAACAAAAATAACAGGACAAATGTTCAGTGTGTCAACACAGAATGATGTGGTGAAGCATTACCGTGGCACAACTCACCAGAGCCACGCTCAAGACAGGTCAAAGGGACGCAAAAACTTTTATGCCGAGTGCTGATTGACCTTACAACCCTGACAACAGGGTACCGGTCTCGTCAGTTGACCAACGTCTAAAGTGCAAGTCTAAGTCTTCGTTGCTGCGTTCATGGACTCATCGAACATTATGATGAAAGCGTCCTTGTTTGCTCGTGAAATTAGTTTCTTCTTTAGGTATGGGGCAACACCAAATCGTGCTAAATATACTGTTTTGTCTCTTCCACATGTGAACGTACTCGCACACTCTGAGTCAGGGAACATTGCTTGAAAAACTAGGTGGACGTCCTTATTTGAGGTGTACGAGTGATGGCGGCTTACGGTTTGAAATACCCACAGTATTTCGGCCTTAAATGTAACTATATTCGCAAAGCTGCTGAAGGCATTGCTTGAAGTGGACGGCCTTGTGGAAGGCTGAGGTCGAAGTGCTCGATGAGAACATACTTATGGGCAAACTACTTGCCTGCGACTACACATACTTTTTGTGCTTCTCTGCTTTCATGTGTGAATCGAGCGCTTTGCGGCCCATTGTACCCAGTTTTATCGTCTTTTTAGATAAAGCACGCCTCCCTTCATGATTACTGGCTGTTTTCTTTAGCCACCCCCGATACTTTTCGTCCTCCAACCAATTGTCATCAAACAAACATTTGCCCATGCTTGCGATTTCGCAAAATGCTGTGGTGGCGAACTATCAATGCAACGCATTCATCAATCACTTACTCGTATGTCACCTATGGAATGATGCAGGTTGCACCCTTGAAGTGCTGCCCCCAAATGTTGCGCTGGTCAAATAGCGGTTGAAAACAATAAATAAAAAAGACAAGTCGGACATGAAATTTAAGATCCCAGATAAAATTTAAGACCTCCTTATGGAAAATTACAGAATTCAAGACATTTTCAGACCTTAAAAATCGAAAATTTTATTTAAGACATCTCAAGACTTTTTAAGGACTCACGGGGACCCTGTGTAAGCATCTGAGTAATAAGAATAAATCTCACGGTACTATCTGGAGATTGAACACCGTGACACGATCACTCTTATGTCCGAGTGGTAATCACCTCATGGTACTATCCGGAGGTTTAATACGGAACTGCGGTTAGTGTTTATGTGACAATTACCTCACGGTGCAATCCAGAGGCTACTTTTACTACAGCTACAAACACTCGGTGTGTTTTCGTGGCTGTTATTGGGCATATGCTCTGCTCTGTCCAGCGATTCTAAACATTGACGATTATCATTATATTTTTTGCTAAGCGTTGATTTTTCTTGTTCTGTTTCTCTCGGTGCACCCGGAGACCCAGATTTCGATTGGTGGTTAGCCTGATTTTTAACGTGAACGTTAGCCAACGGTCCTAGCCATGGTATTTGGTTGGTCAGTTTGACGCCCTCTCATGGCTTATCATGCCATTTCCATGGCTTTCCCGATGACTTGCATACTCTGTCCTAACAAGCATCTCCCGGATGACGGACAAGATATCTGCCCGTCCTGTCTCGATGTTCAACATCTGATCCGTGCCTGCATTGTAGTTAGCTGCTCCTGTCAGAGAGACAGGTGCGTTTGGCTGGGCTGAGCCACAATCAGCATACTGTTGCTTTACCAGCAGGTCTAGCGTTGCCGAACGAGGGGAAAAATGTCGCGCTTCGGCAGCTTCTGGAGCTCCTCGTCTTAAGAAACCTAGCCTAAACGGTAAGCACACGGCGGGATATCTGTTGTCGAAGAAAGTGGCCTGTCTGTCTTTAGACATGGCGGAGATTAAACACTTTTTACAAAATCTACAACCAGCGGAGCCAGCATCTGACATCTCTGCTGCTGTGCCCTTTGCTGAGGAAGTTCATTCTCATTCCTCTAGCGAGGAACCACCGTTTGCATCAAGCGGCCACAGTCCCCACTTCGACGTTGTCGACATGTGCTTCTGACTCTCATTTTCAGGAGCAATGTCAGGCTGACATTCCTGAGCCTGATGACCAACCTTTAAATCATGTAATGTAATGTGATGTGTATTTATATAGCGCATTTAATGTGTATGGCCATACACCCAAAGCGCTTCACAATCATGAGGGGGGTCTCTCCACACCACCACCAGTGTGCAGCATCCACTTGGATGATGCGACGGCAGCCACAGGACAACGGCGCCAGTGCGCTCACCACACACCAGCTATTGATAGAGTGGAGAGACAGTGATAGAGCCAATTCGGTGGAAGGGGACGATTGGGAGGCCATGATCGTAAGGGCCGATAGAGGGACTTTGGCCAGGACACCGGGGTTACACCCCTGCTCTTTCACGAGAAGTGCCATGGGATTTTTAATGACCACAGAGAGTCAGGACCTCGGTTTAACGTCTCATCCGAAAGACGGCACCCACTGACAGTGTAGTGTTCTCTTCACTATACTGGGGCATTAGGACTCACGCAGCCCACAAGTTGACCGCCCCTGCTGGCCTCACTAACACCACTTCCAACAGCAACCTAGTGTTCCCTAGTGGTCTCCCATCCAGGTACTAACCAGGCTCAGCCCTGCTTAGCTTCAGTGAGTAACCGGTCTTGGGCTGCAGGGTGATATGGCTGTGGCAAATCATGCTGGGACCGTTGGATCCAAGAATGGCTCTCATCATTCTTCTGAAAATGCCCCACATAAAGATGATGATGCATTGGAAGTCCTTCGGATGGCAGTAGCCTGTCTTGGCCTTGATGACAGCCTTGCTCATCCTGTTTAATCCAATATGCTTTTCCGCAGACCTCCATCTGTGGATACCCTTGTTATGCCAGCATGTGAGGATTTCATTGCAGAATTTTCGAATGCTCTTAAGGGGGCAGGCATGGCCAAAAGACGATCCAAGACTGCTCGCACTTGCGGCACTTGTGCTGATATTCATTTACACTGAGGAAGGGCAGAGGCTTGCGGAAGAACTACTGAGAGATTTCAGCTGCTGTCTGGGCTTTCACTGCAGAACTACACCTCCCTTTCGTCATGTGTTTAATACTTTCTCCCTGCGTCATTTCATTTAATTACACAGAACTTCATTTGCAAACTAATAATATTTGTTTTCTTTGCATGTATGAGGATTACATTGGTTGTTACCAACATCTGGAGAAACTTTCAAGTCAACGACACCTTTAGAAATATGTTTTCTGAAAATAATGGTGACGTGTTCAATACTTATTTCCATGCTGCATATGTGTGTGTATGCTCATATGTGCGTGTGTGTTTGTGTTTGTAATACTCACCGTCTAGTGACAGCCAGTCCAGCTGTGAGCTGGGTAAAGACGAGGCGTTACGAGCGCGATACTCAAACAGCACAGAAGAAGAAACAGGGATCGAGTCCTTCAGCACGTGAAGAGCCACCAGACCCGCTTCATGAGCTGTATACACCCAAACACACACGCAAACACACATTTTTAACAAATATGTTTTTTTTATTTTTTATATTAACGTTATTGTGAGTGCGCGCGCGTGTGTGTGCTTACCTGGACAGTAGCAGCGCAAGACACCTGGCTGAATAAGAGATGCGGGAACTCTGCTCTGGTCGAACGCACATGAGTATCTGCCGTCCGTCTCGGACCATGGACCCGTGATCAGCACCTTCACTCCTCCCTAAAACACACACACATACATACGCCTGTTATTAATATTTAATTTGTATCGAATATCAAATACAAACCATACTGAAAACTCGTACTGAAGTTTAGAATAGAAACACAAAATGTTTTTGCAGTGTTTCTCACCTCTGGGTATGACCACTCCGGGGAGAAGTCTGTGATGTTGGTCAGGCGCTGTGTGTCCTCCGCAGCGCCGCCGGCCGCGAGCGTGTGTGTGTTGGTGAGGAGTGTGAAGGGTAGAAACGAACTGGAGGGCGACGGCTGCGGCGGAACCATGTAGCGGACGGGGTAAACAGGTGGATCTGGAGTGGGGGCGTGGCCAACAGCATCATCCGTAATCAGCTCAGAGATGAGGTCAGGGAAGGCGGAGTCAAATGTAAGCCCAGCCTCCTCGCCATCCATATGGGTGCAGTGGGTGGTGTCCATGGGCGTGACTTCTGACTCAAAATGAGTGGGTGGAGACTGCTCCTCCTTCACCTGTATAGGAGTGGGCGTGGCCGGGGGCGGAGTTTGTGGTTCGATGCACATAGAGTGCGATTGAAGAAGACAAGACTGCATTTGAAGCTGCGGCTGCCTAAGCTCCGCCTTTTCTCCTTCTTGATTGATTGGCAGAACTTCGAGGGCAGACGTAGGAGGAGAAAGCGGAATGGTCTGTAAGTTGCAAGGCAGGGCTTGAGATTCAAATGCAGGAGGAGAAGTGCTGTGAGTGGGCGGGGCTTGAGTGTCCATTTCAGTAGGCGGAGCTCTGCTATTTGTGGATAGGGAAGGATTCAATGAATCCAGGCCTAATGCTGACTCCAAACACAGCAGAGTCGGAGTCATCGGTGCTGGAGATAAAGACAGAGATAAAGAAGCCGGACTGGAGGAAGGACGAGCGGGATTACTCTTCCTCTCCACTTCAGAGGAGAAAGAAGACAGAGACGAAGGTGGAGAAGTGGGAGATAAAGCCAGAGACGGAGGCTGAGGAGATGTTGAAGGAGGAGGAGACGGGGAGGAGGAGGCGGAGTTAGAGTGTGGTGTGAGGGCGGGGCCTCCATATGTCTGCCCCTGTTTGGGGCTATTGAGGAAGGAGTCTGGGTCGAACGGCAGCAGAGACGGGGACGACGGGTGCAGGAGTGCTGTAGTTGTTTCCGGAACAATGCGTTCGGTCAGCTGCAGACTGCCAATCACAGGGCTGGACAGCAGAGTGAGTGACAGTGTGGCCACGCCCTGATTAGCAGGAATAGGGCTTGGTGGGGAGGTGGAGCTCGGAGGGGAGGGCGTGTCCTGTTTGGGCGGGACGGGAGATAAAACAAGCCGACCGCCTGCACGGGTTAGCGACAATCGGGTGGAGCCTAACTCGCCGTTTGACTCCTCCCCACAGCCACGCCCCACTGCCGTCGTCATGACGATGACTGCATTTTGCGGGAGTGCCACAGTCGCCAATCCACCCCTCTGAAATCCATTTCCGTTGCTTAGAGAGATCGTTGGTGCTCGTTGTGTTTGGGGCGGACTTGAAGATGATGAGGAGGAGGAGGCGGAGCATGGGGAAGCCACACCCACTGTTTCCTCAACCCGCCCACCGTCTTCTGGCGTTCCTGGTGGCTGCTTTCGTTCTGAAGGCAGGACAGCCACTAAAGCATCTCCTGGCCCCGCCTCCCGGCTGAGCTCCGTCCCCGAGCCTTCGCTGGCCAGATTCTGCAGCTCGGTGAGGGCAGGGTATGGCGCGGGCAGTTTCGGGGAGATGATGCGATGCTTTGTGCTGTTGCAGCGGTGAGGAATGTTGGATCCAGGAGAAGCTGTGGGAAACACACAGAGATAAAAACACACACACACACAACAGGTCACTGCTACAATCTACAATGATTGAACATTTGGGATAATGATCGAATGTTTTTAAAATATTGCTCACCAAGGTTGCAAGGTTGCAAGGTGTGTGTGTGTGTGCTTCAGTGTGTGTTATTTGTCCGTATGTGTGTGCTTCAGAGTGTGTTACTTGTTTGTGTGTGTGTGTGTGTTACCACAGAGGCAGGTGTGTGTTCGCGGTTGTGGTTTGGTCTGTTGTGTTTCTAGGATCTGTTGCACCATCTGCTCCACCGAGAGCTCCACAGCACCGTTGCCTCCACAAGACCATTTCAAACTGTGGACTAAACAAACACACACATATAAAAACACACACATTAAACTGATTGGTCAACCGCTTATATATCAGACGTGTGATTGGTCGATTGCTTATATATCAGATGTGTGATTGGTTGATTGCTTATATATCAGACGTGTGATTGGTTGATTGCTTATATATCAGATGTGTGATTGGTCGATTGCTTATATATCAGACGTGTGATTGGTCGATTGCTTATATATCAGATGTGTGATTGGTCGATTGCTTATATATCAGACGTGTGATTGGTCGATTGCTTATATATCAGATGTGTGATTGGTTGATTGCTTATATATCAGAAGTGTGATTGGTCGATTGCTTATATATCAGATGTGTGATTGGTCGATTGCTTATATATCAGATGTGTGATTGGTCGATTGCTTATATATGAGACGTGTGATTGGTCGATTGCTTTTATATCGGACGTGTGATTAGTCAATTGTTTATTTATCAGAAGTGATTAGTCGATTGCTTATACAGTAGATCTGTGATTGGTCAATTGCTAACACAGCAGACATGTTATTGTTCACTTACACATGGGTTTGAGTTGTGACAGTAGCTCATCTCGGCTCCAGCGCAGACTGTCTCGCCGGTCGGTCAGAGTGCAGGACACCGGACCACATGACTTCACACTGTCCTCAAGCGACGGCACGTTCAGGTAGTGCACAAGCACAATGTCTGGATTCTACAAACACACACACACACACACATGTATTGGTCTGTGTTTATCTTATTCATAATTCTCTAACCATGTGTTCATCTGTAATCTGAATTTTTAATAAGCTGAAACTACATTTAAGAAATTAAATTATATGTATATTTAATTTAAGATATAACATTTTTTTTATTGATAATTACTTAAAACAATAATAAAACACTTAAAATGAATCCTAAACCACTGAAATAAAATATAAAACAAAAATCACTTACTAAAACATTTAAGATATCAAACGTTTGTAATAAAAATATTTTTAATATTAAAAACTATTTTAGAAACACTTAGAATGAATAATAAACCACTGACATAAAATATACCTAAAAAAGACACTTAGTAAATCATTTAAAATATTAAAATCTGTAATAGAAATTATTTTAAAACAAAACAATTCAAATAAAATATTTAAAATTAATCATAAAAATGTTAATCAAAATAAAAATGCACTTTTTTACTTAATACATTTTTTCCTTTGTTATATTTTTAAATATTTTCTTACTCATTACAAACATGTTATGTATATACTAGTGAAAAGGTGCTGAATGAAATACATTATATTACACATTACATCAACTCATTGATATGCACACATTCTAGCTTCTGATTGGGTAGACTGGTGTCACATAGTCACAAACTTACCTGCAGCAGCCAATAGCATCTCCTGTGGAATGTTGGGACGATGGAGGAATGAACATAGCAACCGTAAAGACACTGCAGGAAGAGCCAGAAATGGGAGAAAAACAGCATGTAATACTTTCATTCAGAAGAAATGCAGTAAAAAACATTTATGAATTTAAAGAAGATTCATATTTTAAATAAATGCTGTTATTTTTGTATTTTGTAACTTTGTTCATCTGCCCAAATGAAAAAAATATTATAGTAATTATGACAAATTTTGTAGGTGTGTTTGAACCATACTATAATAAAGTACTTAAATCAATAAGTTGTTTTAATTATATAGTTGGTATGGTAACAACAACTGTAGTAATTGATCTGTTGTGTTGTTTCTGTAGTTGCTATGGTAACACAATAACTAAAGTAATTGATCTGTTGTGGTGTTTCTATAGTTGCTATGGTAACATGATAACTAAAGTAATTGATCTGTTGTGGCAATTCTATATTTGCTATGGTAACACAACAACTAAAGTAATTTGTCTGTTGTGGTGCTTCTACAGTTGCTATGGTAACACAACTACAGTATTTGATCTGGTGTGATAGATATTATAACATAATATAATATAATATAATATAATAATATAATAAAACATAATATGATATGATATAATATAATAAAATATGATATAATATAATATAATATAATATAATATAATATAATATAATGCAATATAATACAATATAATCTATATAATATATATATATATATATATATATATATATATATATATATATATATATATATATATATAAAAAATTACAATATAATATAAAAATATTATAAAATAAAATATAATTTAATACAATATAGTTTAATATAATATAATAATATAAAATAAGATGAAATAAGATGAAATAAAATATAATATATTATAAAATATAATATATTATAAAATATATTATAAAATATAATATATTATAAAACATAATATATTATAATAATATAATATAATATAATATAATATAATATAATATAATATAATATAATATAATATAATATAATATAATATAATATAATATAATATAAAGTATTTATCTGACAATAACGGTATACCTTATGATGCTCATCAGTCAATCAGAATCAAGCATTCAGCAGCCCAGTATAATAAATGATAATAATATCTGACAGACTGTGCATGCTTTTAGTGTTCTGCAGGTATGTGTTTCTGCTCTCTCACCTCCATGCCCTGAACCTTCAGCTTCATGTGATCCTCTCTTGTCGTCTTTCCATCTTTTCTCTTCTTCCAGCAGTATCCATCTTTCCGGTATTTGACCTTCTTGCGATTGTACAGTATGATTGAACCGTTCTGCGGCCTGCACACAACACGCAAACGAAAACACAATGTTTATTACAAGCAAAGGCTGGTTTATGCTTCTGTGTCGAGTGATCGGCATGACCCACGGCGCATGCAATGTGCGTAGCCGTGCTTGTAACTTCTGCATGCTGTTTATGTCGCTCTGCATTAACACTTCTGAAATGCTAGCTGATGGTAGGTGTTTATAATTCTCGGTGTCGAATTTCTTCGCTGGTGTTTTGTTTTTTCTGAACGCTTCCTTAATGTACAAGTGGCTTAAACTCGCTCATTTTGAGGCTGGAACCTGCAGCCGTGCAACAACTTTAATCATGAGGTAAACACAAAACATCAGTTTCCATCCGGAGCTCCTTCATGAGACTCCACTCTTGTAAACTCGCTCCATCGAGCTCACCTCCGCCCACACTCGTCAGCGCTACCAAGCTAACCAGTAGCTTATAATTTAATTGATTTTATTGATGATTTAAAAAAAATCAATTAAGGTAATAAAAAATCAAGGTAATAAAAGCAACAATATACACTAGTGTACGTTTCTGAAAAATCTGCAAACATATTATGGTATTTTTATGCTTTAGAAGAGTCTAAAACTGACATACAGCACCTACTGACCTGGTCTTAAGGGAACAGGAGAGCCACTCGTCATGTCTGTCGAAAGAAATCAGGAAGGATGCAATTTCCTGAAACACACACAAACAACACCAGCATATGACAAGCAGTTACTAACATGATCATTTAGCATTTATTATAAACCAGACACTTACTATTGTGTTTTCAGGGATTGTTTTGCTAACTAAAACTAAAAGCATAACAAAAATCTACTTTAGAATATTTAGAAAATATTACTACTATTATTATTATTATTATTATTATTATTATTATTATTATAAAATATTATTATTAATTAAATATTAAAATATTATTATTATTAAATATTATTATTATAAAATATATTTTTCATTCAGCTAGTAATAATTCCCAGTTTTATTTCCTTTAACTTATTATTCAATGCATAGTTTAATAATATTGTCATAATATTATAAAGCCAACTCATATTAATATTTCAGCTAGTTATCAAAGTAAAAACTAAACTAAAATTTAAAACTAATGCTGGATAAAACCACCACAATAAAAATTGTAAAATGTAATTAAAAACTAATTATAAAATGTAATTAAAAGCATGAATATTTATATAAATACAAAACACAAAAAATGATTTGAACTATGATTAGAACCTACAAAAATATCGAAAGAAATTCACATTTTTAATTTTTAAAATACCAGCGAAAAAGTTTTTTTAATAATGTTTTGTTTTATAGAGCACCTATGATGAAAATCAACTTGTCCACAGTCATATTGGAGTAATAGAAACACAATAAGTCTCATTTTTTCAATTTCTTGATGTTAATATAGGATCTAAATCCCTTCCATTTTGACCTTTTCAACCACAACGTGAAGTAGGAGTTTCCCCACCCACCGAATTGATTGACAGGCGCTATGTTTCTATAATAAGATGTATACACACGTCCACAAAACATTTTGAACAATTGCAAAGAAACTGAGATTGAAATATTTGTTCGGCTCTCTGTGATTTCTATAAGTTAATAAAACAGTGCATGTTTGTGATGGAGTAAAATTGCTGTGTAATTCTTAACCGACAAAAGCCCCTTTCACACAGTGATACCGGTAAATATCTGGAAAATTTCTGGAAAAACTTTACCGGTAAATTCAATAAAGTGCTGTTCACACAGGCGAGGATGTTACGGAATTTTCTGGAAAAGAGCATTCACACATCCATTCCAAAATACCGGTAAATTCTCACATCATTAACCAGAAATTACCTATAAACGGCTGCGCTTGTGTTTGTAAACATTTGACTACATCACAAACTCTGTGGATGATCAGTATTGTGAACAACTGCGATGAAAACATGTAGCGAAACACTTCCGCATGTCAAGATGTACATGATATGTGTGTGTGCAGGCGCTCACGGGCTGTTTCACAGACAAACGCAAAGCTTGAAGTGAAACAAACAACGGCTTATCACAAGCATCTTATCGAAAATTATTTACACAGTTGGCATAAAGATGAACATATAAACGTTATCTGACTAACATCTAGCAGCTAAATGTGTCTGGAAAAATATTCAAAGGCTTTTGTTCTCATAAACCGCGCGGACAAGAATGCGTCTGACTGTTCTGATTTGCTAAAGTAGGCGTCTCACGTTAGCACGTTATAGACGTGAGCGCGCTTTCCGGCAATCTTCCTTCTGCGTTCACACAGCGCAGCATTCCGGCAAACTACCGGTAAAGTTACAACTTCTCCTTCCGGAAAATAGCCAGAACGAATTTACCGGTATTTTCAAAAAGGGTCTGTTCACACATACAACCTTTCCGGAAAATTGCCGATAATTTTTCGGAAAGGTCTATATGTGTGGAAGGGGCTAATATCACCACAACCACATGGTGTCATTAAATTCTAATATATATATACATATATATATATATATATATATATATATATATATATATATGTGTGTGTGTGTGTGTGTGTGTGTACATATGTGTGTATGTATATATATATATATATATATATGTGTGTGTGTGTATATATATATATATATATATATATGTATATATATATGTATATGTGTATATGTGTGTGTGTGTGTGTGTGTGTGTGTGTGTGTGTGTGTGTGTGTGTGTGTACATATGTGTGTATGTATATATATATATATATATATATTAGGGATGTGCGGAGCAGCCGGTATTTGTATTTGTATTTGTATTTGTTGAGGGGGGAAAAGTATTTGTATTTGTATTTGTATTCGAGTAAAATTCAAAATGGCGCAAAAATATATATTTTTTCTATTACACTTCTAATTTACATTATAGTGAAAGTATTGTTTAATTATACCCATTATATAAATTATAGATATGCAATATTGGTTGTTGTTTTTGAACATGTGACAAGAAATGTCATTGAAAAGAAAATAACATAGAAGCCATTATCTCATCCATGGTTGAACCAACAACTAATAAAATACCATTGTGAATATTATGAACCCCACCACCACTGTTCTTGTTGAAGGACACTGAATAGACAGAATAAAAACAAATATTATTTCAAAAAACTGTTCTTCTTCTGAAAGAACTTCTTTCCAATGGACAGAATTCCAAATACTAAAATTAACTAAATAAATCTTAATAAAACCCTGCCTGGGAGATCTGGCAGAACAAAAGTATTCTATATAATACTAAAAGATACAGCCCTGCTTTTGTCATCTGCCTGCCACAAAACAGACACAAAATTGGTTTTTTTTTTTTTGTTTGTTTTTATGTTTGAAACTGACTTGCTGGGGCAGAATGTGGCTGTGTTGATGGTTTGGTGCTTGTGGAGGATTTAGCAGAGCATAGCTGTGCTGATTGGGGGGATTGATGCTTGTGTGGGTTTCACAGACAGTATCAGGAGAGGATGCTTTTAGTGCATGTAATAATACATTACATAGAAGGTTGCGCGGTGGCACAGTGAGTACCACTGTCGCCTCACAGCAAGAAGGTTGCTGGTTCGAGCCCTGACTGGGTTCTCCCCATGTTGGTGTGGGTTTCCTCCGGGTGCTCCGGTTTCCCCCACAGTCCAAACACATGCAATACAGGTGAATTGGGTAAGCTAAATTGTCCCTATTGTATGTGTGTGAAAGAGCGTGTATGGATGTTTCCCAGTGCTGGGTAGCAGCTGGAAGTGCAGCCACTGCGTAAATCATATGCTGGATAAATTGGTGGTTCATTCCACTGTGGTAACCCCAGATTGATAAAGGGACTTAGCCGAAAAGAAATGAATGATTATGCATAGAAGATGTTGACAGATGTTTAATATCTCTGCTGATTTCACTTTTGCACACATTATACAGTATCACTTTGTTTTATCTGCAGCTCCACTGACTGTAAAATTGTTCCACAAAGAACATGTTTTTTTTTTTTGACTGGTGGAGGACCAAGAAATGGCTCAGAAGCAGTCTCACTCTTTTTCTATTCGGGTGCCCAAATGTATTTGAGGAGTTTAAAGTTAATAAAAAGTGACGGGAAGCTATGCTAAGGTTAACTAGCCTATAGCATATATCTTGCTGTCTGCAAAAGACAGTAATGTAGACGTACCATATAACTCCCATAAGTGCATACTATTCGACACAACAGCACAAGCATCATTTTAACCTTTATAAACAAACGTTAATGTTACTCTGTCAACAGACTATTGTCTAAATTACCGCGCTAACAGAGCTAACGTTGCGCTAACAGAGCTAACGTTGCGTAAACAGAGAGCACCCGATTGCAAACTTCCCGATCCTGATCAAACTTCGCTACAAGTTTATAAACTGCATCTGGAACCCAATTAAGGTACAAAAATCTATTTCACAAAAATAGTGATGCAGTAAAGTATTTTTTTCGCTCAGCCGTGCCTTCTCTGTCTGTATCTGTGGAGAAGATTGTGCCAGTCACCTCCGCCCCGCCCTCCGACTGAGCGTCTCTCTCGCTCGCTCTCTCTCTCTCTCTCTCTCTCTCTCTCTCTCTCTCTCTCTCTCACTCACTCACTCACGCGGGCATGCACTGTGGTCTCAGGAGGAAACGCTGCTTTTTGATATAATGTTTTTCTTGCTCCCGAATACAAATAATTTTTCAAGTATTTGTTCGAAATAAGTATTCGTAAAAACACGCTATTCGTGCCTTTCCGAATACCGTATTCGGGTTCGGCCCCACCCTTAATATATATGTGTGTGTGTGTGTATATATATATATATATATATGTATATATATATGTATATGTGTATATGTGTGTGTGTGTGTGTGTGTGTGTGTGTGTGTGTGTGTGTGTGTGTGTGTGTGTATATGTATATATATTTTTTTTTATATATACACACACACAGGGTTTCCGCTACATTCATTCTTCTGTGGCGGGACGCCTCACCAAAATTCATCCCCCCACGGCTACACTACAGCTTTTTATACAAAATATTCAGTCGTTTTTTTAAAATAGCGGGTTAAAATCGCACCGAAAACGTTTGAAAAGGTAAGTGAATATTAACAGTGCAAACTTTTCTGTGACCGCAGTAGTGCTGTACAGAGGTGGGACCAAGTCATTGTTTGGCAAGTCACAAGTAAGTCTCAATTCATTGCCCTCAAGTCCCGAGTCAAGTCCCGAGTCAAGACAGGCAAGTCCCGAGTCAAGTCCCGAGTCAAAGGCAACAAGTCTCAAGTCAAGTCCAAAGTCCTGTAGTTTGATTTTCGAGTCTTTTCGAGTCTTTTTAACAGAAAAATAAAATATATACAGATTAGGTATGGTTGTAAGATCTGTATTAATTAAACAAACCTTTTTTTATTAAAGAACATTGCTTAGATATATAAAAATACAAATGCAATTTTCTGAAAAAGTACTGAACAGTGCTGCGTCTCGTCTCCACAGCATAATGCACAAGAACGAGTTCCACCAAAAAAAGACTCCATTTTGCCTCACATCACACAGAAATTGCAGGTCTACTGCTGTCTAATTCATTAAGTTTAGTTGTGCTATGTTATGTCTTCGGTGATCAACTTGTGATTAACCAAAATTACATAACCTCAATGTGGTAGCAGTAGACCAACTCCTGTATATGCTGCAAAGTTAAATTGAGTGAAATTGGAATTTT